AGAACAAACATATTCACGTGACTTTAATAGCATTTCTTATTTAATGGAAACACGGCAGTTGTGAAACTGTTTTTCGACATTAACAGAATATCGGCAAAGTTTTGCGCACATTTGCAATGGAAACACAGCTAATGAGACTGCATTTAGTTAACTGAAGCAAAAATCAAACACTGGATTTTTAATTAGTTCAATTTTACATTTTTACTTTTAGGTTTTGAAAACTGAAAAACAAACAAACAAAACCACTTGTTTTTCTTTTTGCTATTTTATTTTGAAAGGGAAAAACAMAAACAAACCGTACACTGTCTTTTGAAAAAGGACAAATTGTCTTTTTTACGCCACTAAAACAGTAAAATCCCTGCCAGACAAAGAGAACAATGAGCCATTTTGACACACTTTGAATAGAAGAACAGATCCAGAGATTACAGACGGGTTTAGTACCGGACCTGGTCTAAAACAGGCAGAATGCCACAGGAGCTTTAAGATCTGCTTGTTGTTAACTTTTAAATCTGCTAAGACGCTTTTAGACAAAATACTGCAGGATTAAACAAATTGAAGCAAAAATGTCAAAGATAATACCCTAAAAAAGCACAGTTTAAACAGTTTATCTGTAAAAAACAAGGTGATCTGGGTTCAGTTACTCTTGAAGTGAATCTTATATTTCTGACTCAGATCTGGTCTGAGGGCTTTGGGGTCTTGGTCACAGTATCTCTGGGCTATAGTCTAGTCCTGACCCCTTTGAGCCCAGGTCTGGTCCAGACTGTGGGTGTATAGTGAGCTGTTAGGAGTCTCAGATTGAAGTGTTTTGTGAAAGCACCTTGTGTTGGAGGAGGGGGACACATTGGACAGGCCACTAGTCCATCAGATGGACACATAAGGACAAACAAGACTCCTCGGGACAGTTTAATGTAGAATATTATATTGTTAGTATAAAACTGTTTGCTCCATGTTTATTAATCCCAGCCACTAGATGTGTGGAAAACAGGGGTTCTTAACCTTTCTGACCTCGGGGCCCAATTTATTGAACATAAAGAGGCAGAGGCCCAGTCAGACATTACCAATGTATGGATCAAAATGATAATTATTTTAAATCTTGGTTTAATTTGTATTGTATTTACATTATAACTAAATTA